AGCTCCAGCAACGGTCACATAAGCATCTTGGTTTTTTCCCGAGGGTCCGATTTTTTTTCCTTGCCGCGTTCCCAGCGCGGGTTTTTATTTCATCTAGTAGGAGAAATCTGCATGAAGCTGTCGTTATGGGGAGAAGAGTTGTTGAATGAATCTCTGGACATGTAAAGTAAAGATGTGAGCATAAAAACAAGTTGGAATTACCAGTTGAAGGAATAACAAGACAGTTTTTTAAAGACTGCATGGGAATGAAAAGATATAGAATTAAAGATTAGCGATTAATGAGGACTATCACCACAGCACTCCGGACAGATCCATAGGGTCTCAGATCTTTTTCTAGATAGCTCCACAAGCGGTAAAACTAATGACGCCAGTTCTGTGGTGATTAATCAAACGACTCCTGCCCTTGGTGAAATATTATTGTCTGGCTGCTCCATGCTCCACTCCCATATCCATCACCCTCGATACGATCTTATGTATCTCATTTGACATTAATAGCATCCCTTGGCTGCAAGATTAATCTGCTTATTGTAGCAGCAGTGGTAGTAGTAGAATAATAGTTGTGTAGTTGGCCGAGTGGTAACAAAGTCAGGTTGTCGTGCGGGAGACCAGAGTTCGACTCCCGGTAAGATGATGGAGTTTTTCAGCGGTGATCAGTTCGGCAACCACGGTCCATGGTTCGACCGGCCTAGCCGTGAGAGGTAGCCGGCTGTGGTATGTGTTCTATTGTCTGTATAGAAACTTGTTATCTTTGTTTGATCCTCTCTAGAATCTACAGTTTATAAAGCAGTCTGTCTCTGGTTTCTGAAATCAGTATCAATCAAACCTAGACAGGGTGGCCAAAACATATCTAGTGCCAGTAGAACCACATCATGCAGTGACGGGGCACGGTCATAAATGTTGTACCTGCCGCTTAAACTTTTCATGATAAAATAAAAAATGCATTATTTTACTATTTATTATAAAAAAAAAACTATGTTCTACTATTTCAGGCGTATGGGGCATGTAGGGCTAGACCTGTAATTTATAAACCAATCGACACTAGGTGGCGGATGTGGTGAGTATCATGGCGGCCGTCTTTACTTCTCAGGACTGTACCTGGTACCAATTTTAGGCGACTGGGTCGACCTTTTGGCTCTGAACCCACGACATTTATTATTACTGTTGACTATTTATACAACTACGCCACTCGGATTAGCTCTCAAACATAGCGAGAAGAACGCTTACTGCACGCTTACATCACTCAAGCAGAAATTGTAACGTGTGAAAGCTGTCAGTTATTAGTACTACGATTTAGCTAGGCAGGCATACTCTCAACAGCGAAGAAATGAGGAGGAAAATATTACGTGATACCCTCTACAGTATAATCGTTATCGGTTAACTCTTCCACTTGCGAAATGATCACGCCTGGCCACGGATATCGTATGGCTAATGCCACTGTCAGCAGAATGATGTGGGAACGAACAAATGTTTTGTCCTTGTTGAGATCTGGCAGTCAACACAGTTGTAGTTAAGTCTCTTTGATGACTGCAAGCGAGACGTGGTCCTGATTTCCAATGTGCCAGGGTAAAAAGATCGATAAATCTGCGGAAATGTTTTCATTTCATGTATTATCTTTGGTGGTGTGGCAGAAAGTTAGGGTGGCGGTGGGGGAAGGTGGAGTCGTTGAGGGAATTTGTGCCCCGTCAGTTTGGGGGTGGGATGGATGTAAATATTCTACGAACTGCCCTCGATTTTTGGTACTGTACATTTGTTGTATTGATTTTTGCATTTAGTTGGTTTGTGAGTATAAGCCATTGGTTCCCAAACTTGTCTGGCGGTGTGATAAATACACACGAATTATTACATGTTACCCCTCACGAGAAGACGTACAGTGTAGACAAAACAGAGGCATCATTGGCCCATCTGCCTGAGGTGTGCCCAGACTTTGCCCGTCTAGTCGACTGATGAAATATTTCACACAAGACACCAGCGAGCTCTAAATCAAGAGTTTCTTTCTCTGAAACAATGGACACCCCCTTGTACTGAACCTGGGAGCACCAGCAAGCTCTGAATCAAGAGTTTCTTTCTCTGAAACAATGAACACCCCCTTGTACTGAACCTGGGAGCACCAGCGAGCTCTGAATCAAGAGTTTCTTTTTCTGAAACAATGGATACCCCCTTGTACTGAACCTGGGAGCACCAGCGAGCTCTGAATCAAGAGTTTCTTTCTCTGAAACAATGAACACCCCCTTGTACTGAAGCTGGGAGCACCAGCGTGTCTGAGATGTGTACCAGGATTTTTTCCAAGGACATATACACATTTGTTGTTGGGGACAATCCCAGGAAAGGGGAAAGCGGAAGAATCTGAGGAGGAGGAGTAGTAGTAATAGAAGGAGAGGGTTAAGAAGAATAAAAAGAAGAAGAACAAGGGGAAGGAGTAGAAGAAAAAGAAGAAGAAGACAGAAGAAGGAGGAGGATGAGGAGGAGGAGGAGGAGTAGAAGATGAAAAAGAAAATGGTGAAATAAAAGCTGTGAAACAAAGGAATGCAACAGATCTCCGCAATGTCTATCTCACCGAGCATATGAACATCTAAACAATCTCATCAAGATAGATCCCCCCCCACCCCCCACACCCCCTCCCCCGCACTTCTCACCAACCCACATCCTCCCACCCTCGCACCGCACTTTCCACCAACTCATATCCTCCACACCTTACCCACAGCTGATCCAGGGTTAGTTCCAGAATGATTGTCATGCAAACAGAGAACAAATTGACCAGACTTCGTTTGTACCTGCCTGACTCCCTGGATCAAACAACCAGCTATGTTAACAAATCTACGTGCACGCATTTTAATTATCCGCATTATCGCTTTATTCCAGCACCCCCTGGGGACTATAGAAGTACAACCATAAACTTCAGTTAAGCTTTATTTCTGTCCCTCGGTAAAACCATAAGTTTTTGTTTACTAAGGTTTGTCAATTGGATGTTTCTGCGAAAAGTAAATAATTAACGTCTTTGAGATCAGCGGCAAGGGAGACAATTTCATCATCGTCATCATCATTAACAACAATAACAGCAGCAGCAATAAAAATATTTGAAAATGTGCTGAAAAAAATGTTCACATCGAAGCCAGTCATAGAAACGGCAAGCACCACATCTTCCCAAAAATAACGAGGTCTTATATTAGCCAGGTAATCAAGTAATCACAGTTTTAACATCACATCAGACGGGAGATCCAGCAATTAATCCGTTCCTGTGCCAACGAAAACCCCACACAATGTCTATCATTGTCGCTTGTGGAAATACTGACGCAGACTGTAATATCAGATAATATAATAGCGTACATGCACACTGGGTGCTTAAGACAGCCGCAAGATATGCCAACGCAAACAGTCCGACATTAGTGTAAACACGGACAGACTACCCTCTATAGCTAAAGGATTCTCAACCCTTTTGTGCACATATTGTAAAGTTCTGGTTATGTTCAAATTAGTAATTAAGTAGTAATTTAAATCTTCAATTTCGGTAGATGAAGAACAAATCTTTGCTGCTGGTTGAAGATGACGTCATGCGCAGATCATTGACAACTTGCAAGGGGTCCCGGGTAGTGAGCATACTTTGGATCTTTTCTCCAGGCTATGCCGGCGTGTTGGGGAATGAACAGGCAGACAGATTGCCTGGATCTGCAACGCTGGGTGGTGAACTGATACATGACAAGGCAGATGTGGTCAGAACCCTTTGGGAACAAGTAACGAAGTCAGATGAGGAACTCGATTATTATGGAGAAACTCGATTATTATGGGCTGGAGAAAATGATGCATCTGGGTGTGACCAGAAAGTTCGGCCGGCTGACTATGGTCAGAGGCATGGCAAGACGGACATACAACCAGACTACCACCGGCACCACTAGTACTGGTACTATGCGCTGGCTGCTGAGGATGGGGACGAAGACCCTTTGAGAATGCCCCTGGTGCTGTCAATTCATGACTCAACTCAACAGATCATTGCATCATTTTGTCAGATGAATAAAAGATCCGACACACATAATAATACAGATCACTGACACCATTTTGTCCGGGCACGAAAGGCTTTACAAATGCTCTTGGAGACTGCAGATCACCAAGAGGCATGATCGTCCAAACCTGCCGCTAAATCACTTGATGATAATGAATCACACAGTAATGACCCAAAGAAGTACTGAAATGGAATACAGACCGTATAGAAGCATTTCACTAAATCTAAAATGTAGTTTCAAAATGTTTGTAGTCATTCCATACTGCGTTTGGTCATTATAAGTAAAACTAGGGGACTTATCTACGCCTTCGGGCGTGTTAGGCATAGGGGGCTAGACCGATATCTTATAGACCATTTAGTAAGTGATATGGTTAGCATCATACCGGTCGCCTTTACTTCCTAGGATTCCACCTGGTACCCACTCAAGGCTCAGTGGACCTGGGAGCTAAGAATAGTTAAAAAAAAAAAAAAAAGGTAACGCCAGCGCATCAAAGAAGTATATGATGATCGTCTCAGAAGTGTGTGACCAGGGCTTTTCAACTGAGTTTACTCAGGGGCCACAATTTAGAACATGGGGATAGTCATGGGTCGGAAGCCCCAGTTCTAGCATAGAAAGATCATTAATCCAGTACAATTGGCAATAATCCGCGTGCCACTTGCTAGACCTCTGCTGGCCACATTTTGCCCGCAGGCCACCAGTTGAATAGCCCTGCTCTAGCCATTGCTACTAGCTCTGTTCCAGGCGTATGCCAATGACAATTAAATCTAGACGCACGTGTTTCTATAACATCAACAATAACAACAACAGCAACAACCTTAATAACAACATAAAATATAATCTCAGAGGAGAAAACAGTGACGTCACCAGCAGTAACAGTAGCAACAACAAAAACACCAAGTACTTCGTTAAATGTAATCTCAGACAAAGAAAACAATAGCAGCAACACTAAACGCAACAACAAGGTAAGACAACGAGTCTAAGCCTCGACTTTTGAAGTATTCCTACCTTTGTGAAATCTCCAAACATGAACCCTTGTTCGAGACCCACGAAGATTACCAAGGGCATCAACAGCAGACACTTGGTGTCTTTCAGCATGCGGATAGTGGCTAAACACAGCTCCCAGGAGGACTGCGAGAACTCTGGGTCGGCCTCAGTCTTCCCTACGGGGACCTGGTCCAGAAGCGCCACAATGACCACCGCTGCCATAACCCCGCAGGCCAGGTAAGTGGTCAGCAGCATGTAGCGCGTGGAGTCGGAGATGGACGCTGCCAGATCGTTGAGGTCATTACTGTACGTCCCGTCAGCTGGACGCGAGGCTGCGTCGGCACAAGAACACGTTTTGGCGCCACACTGACTTTTCTCATCGTCAGCCATCGAAGACAGAGAATTCTCCTCCACATTCTTGTTTATTGAAGCGAATGCAATAAAGGATAACACTTGTGAAAAATTCGTAATTCCCTTTCCGGTAACGTCTAAATCTAATAATGAATCGTGGGTGGAATTTTGTACAAATTCCGTTTCGTTTTTAGTCAAAATTAAGGTGGATATAAGGTTGCCCCATATTTGACTACAGCGGTAAAACCCGAAAAACACTCCCATAAACTGGTTAATGATGTCGTCGGATTCGAACACCACCCGTTTGTGCTGGGCGTAGGTTAGAGCTAGAGTTGTGACGTAAGTGGCTTGGGCACTCCACATAGGACCGGCCAAGGCGCCGAGAAGGACACTCAGAGGGAGCAGCAGGAAATGACGAGGGTAGAAATTGGCAGCGAAGTAAGCAGTGAATATGGAGAACGCCAAGACCATTGTCCATTTGGTGGTCAAGCGGTTGATAAGCCAGGGGGCTAGCAGACAGGAGAGGACAGTGGTACCGTAGATGACGCTCAGAGACACCATTCCCAGTCCTCCATGGCGATACAAGCTGCTCTGCAGGCTCTGAAAAAAATTAACGGATAGAAATGGACATACATGGATACGGACATACTTAGATACAAAGATACAGTTACGTTTAGCATATGGTGCTATGCAGGAAGTAGCTGATTTGGTTAACAGTTTAGAAGAGACAAACTCAACACCCCCCCCCCACCTCTCCCAAGTTTGCGTAGTCTATCAGCTCTGCTATAAATTTGTAAAGGAGTCAAGCTCCAACATCCCCCTCACCCCCCCCCCCTCCCCCCTTTCCCCGGGAAGCTTTATAGAAGTTCTCATTTAGTTTTTTTTGGGGATCATACCATATTTTTTTAAACAATATATTATTACATTTAATTGTCACTCAGCACATAATTATTATTATTATTATTGTTATTATTATGGTCATGAATGATACATATAAAGATATATTCGTGGGAACAACATGCCATAGACTTTGTAGCATAGAGGGACCAAATCCGGAAGGGAATGAGAACGACAGAAGAAATCATTACAAAAAGAATGAGAGCTAGGCGTCTGGGAAGAAACAGACTAATTAAGTATCATGGCAACAACAGTCCTGCCATCCCACGCTGGAAGACTTCTCAACGCGGGCGGGTCTTGCTAGTCACACTCGCCATCACCATGGGAGGTGTCCCATATTTCCCCATATCAGAACACACAACTATCGTCTGGAAAGATGGAAAGGTCCCAATTAAATTATCATAAGCACTTAAATAAGGCTTGGATTGGGTAAGCAACACCCTCCCCCAATATTTGTGTGTTGTTGTTGTTGGAGGACCTACGCTCTAGCCCCCGTATATTCAGTCACTTCTTTATATAAGTCCGACTCTAGTCATAGCGATTCGGTAGCCAATGTGTATTCAGTCACTTCTTCATACAAGTCCGACTCCAGGCATCGCGATTTGATAGCCAATGTATATTAAGTCACTTCCTTATATCAGTCTGACTCCAGTCATCCAGATTTGCGACAACCTATATTTTCTACACGTTGACTGGTAAGATGTTGCAGGTTTAAGTCTGCCTGCAGCCACCAGTGTCAAAGGACGAACACACCGATATATGCTAAAGTCCTGGAATAGAGCTTAAGTCTAGAAATGGACGAAACCTCCTGGACCTCTCACGGAGTTTGCAGCTGTCAAACGCAAATCTAAAAGCAATATAACAGAAAAGTGATAATAAAAAATAATAGTTATAACGAAAACACTAACAATAAAACAAATAAAACTTTATCGACAACAATCATCATGATTGATGATATTGGAAACGAAAACGGAAAGCTGATAAGATCAACCATGCAGTGAAATTTCCCAGGCGCCCACATTTTGGCCAAATGTTGGGAGAGAAACGGGCACGTCTAGACCGCAGAACAACCGTCCAATGGGCTCATACATTTCCCGATGACGTAAGCACACAGAGGCGTATCCTCATGGCTCCCTTGTGGGTCTAGCAGGTTCGGGTTTCTATTTACCTCATTCTGTTACCTCCAGTGTTAAAGACAGACGTTTGAGTGTTTCTGAGTATAAATTCCTCGCATAATTCATGTCTTGCGGCGCCTGTCTGCAATCAGGCGCCTGCCTGAATACCTGCCTGAATACCTGCCTGCATACCCCAGTCACTTGTCCCATCCGTGTATCTGGTTCCTGCCCTGTCTGTCTGTCTGTCTGTCTGTCTGTCTGTCTGTCTGTCTGTCTGTCTGTCTGTCTGTCTGTCTGTCTGTCTGTCTGTCTGTCCGTCCGTCCGTCCGTCCGTCCGTCCGTCCGTCCGTCCGTCCGTCCGTCCGCCCGTCCGTCCATCCGTCCGTCCGTCCGTCTGTCTGTCTGTCTGTCTGTCTGTCTGTCTGTCTGTCTGTCTGTCTGTCTGTCTGTCTGTCTGTCTGTCTGTCTGTCTGTCTGTCTGTCTGTCTGTCTGTCTGTCTGTCTGTCTGTCTGTCTGTCCGTCCGTCCGTCCGTCCGTCCGTCCGTCTGTCTGTCTGTCTGTCTGTCTGTCTGTCTGTCTGTCTGTCTGTCTGTCTGTCTGTCTGTCTGTCTGTCTGTCTGTCTGTCTGTCTGTCTGTCTGTCTGTCTCTCTGTCTCTCTGTCTGTCTGTCTCTCTGTATAGACTGAGTTCAACGTGTACAAGCAGAAAGACAGCTATAGACGTACACAGATTCAACGAGAAATAGTGCTTCTAAGAGACATTAATATACACACGCATATATATGTATGCTTATATACATACTTATACAGACAGACAGACAGACAGACAGACAGACAGACAGACAGACAGACAGACAGACAGACAGACAGACAGACAGACATATACATACATACATATGTACGCGTACACACACATACACACACACACACACACAATCATACATACATAGTCAAATAAATGAAGAGGAAGTCTTAGAGTGCCACAACCACTGTATAAACGTTTGCTTTCAAACAACATTCTCTCTCTCTCAATGCTCTCAGTTATCTTAGGCCGTTGTTTAACTAACATGGAAGGCACAGCAAACGCCTAAGCATAACTCATATCCTTAAACCTGGATCAGACGTTTAAAAAACCAACTTATATAGTGGAGCCATCTTCCACGTCGAATCTATAATACTACAAACCCATACACATGCATTCAGAAACTATTTCAATATTATCTCACTACAAACTATCTACCTCCTAAAAGTTAATAGTATTTCAAGTATACTGTATATTTCCCCAAGATTTACTGGGCTTACAATAAACTATTATTACTGCTTAGAAATGTAGGGATAATTAGAACATATTCCTGCGACTGTGGTCAAAGCTCGGATGTTGTTGTCATGCAAAGAAGTTCAACCACTTCTACAGGGTTTGTCTGAAAAAAAGATACTGAAAAAAAAAAAAAAAAAATCAAGCGGCAAGACCAGGTCTCGGATACTGTCTTACTGGATAAAGCTGGCATTGCCAGCATCGATGCCATTCTAATGCAGACCCAGATTCCATGGCCAGGTTATCTCGTCCTTTTGCCAGGTTATCTCCTCCGTTTGCCAGGTTATCTCCTCCGTTTGCCAGATTATCTCCTCCGTTTGCCAGGCTATCTCCTCCGTTTGCCAGGTTATCTCCTCCGTTTGCCAGATTATCTCCTCCGTTTGCCAGGTTATCTCCTCCGTTTGCCAGGTTATCTCGTCCGTTTGCCAGGTTATCTCGTCCGTTTGCCAGGTTATCTCGTCCTTTTGCCAGGTTATCTTGTCCGTTTGCCAGGTTATCTCCTCCGTGTGCCAGGTTATCTCGTCCTTTTGCCAGGTTATCTCCTCCGTTTGCCAGGTTATCTCGTCCGTTGCCAGGTTACCTTGTCCGTTTGCCAGGTTATCTCGTCCATGTGCCAGGTTATCTAGTCTGTTTGCCAGGTAACCTCGTCCGTTTGCCAGATCACCGGTTCCCAGAAATAATATTTTATGGCCTCAGTCAAAGCTTTCAATAGAAACCTTGATACCTGGGAACGAGACCGGACTACACGGGAGCCACAATCCGAAGATACCTGAGAGACATCTAGAAAAAAAGGCAGCTGAACAGCGAAGACATGTTAGAAAGGCCCGTATAACAGGACCTTTACCTTTAGACACGGTTTCCTGCCTACATTGTCCTAGATCCCTCGGAGCCCGTATCAAACTAATAAACAGTGTCCGGACTCACAGACAATCAACTGTAGTATCTTGACAGATGAAAGCAAGAGTCGTCATCATCACTTGTGAATGACGAACAGCAACAACAACTTGATAGCAATAATAATAAATAATAAAAATCTGAGATACAAACAAAGACATTCTCACCTGTAGCGATACAAAGCCTGTATATATCAACATAAAGGCCACACTGATGGAGACAAGGTTCTTCGCAGCTTTTGATGACGTCATTGCACGAATTTCTTTCATGGCTTTAGCATCTTTGGGCAGCGTGTGGTAGACGGCGACTGTATACGAGTGAATGGTGCTTCGCCTGTAGATTAAGGAACGATGGTTTAAGTCAATGCAAGAAAGGAATGAAAGAGTAGAGTTAAGATAAAAGATGCAAGAAGAAGAAGAAGAAGAAGAAGAAGAGGAGGAAGAAGAATTCAACCAATCAACTCAAGTATCTCCGATAGAGATGCTTTAGACGAATTGGAGCCCACTGAATAGAAAAGGCGGTTCTGCAGCGATTGCGTTAGTGGCATTAGGCTACCTAACCGACTGTTTACACATACCCAGACGGGGTCTAGGGGCCATGAGCGCGGTTCGCAAATCCACAATACCCGGTTCGATTCAATTGCAAGCAATGTGGAAGTCGACCGTATTACTTTTATTTCTTCAACGATAAAAAGCAATGGCTCCCAACTGTCCAAATACCGTGACCCTTTACTGTTCCCTCATGTTGTTTCGACCCACAAACAATTATTTTCCTTCATAACTTCAATAAATATGGGTTTTCCGATGGTCTTTTGCGACCCCTGTAAAAGGGTCGTTCAACACCAAAAAAGGGTCGCGAGCGGCAGGTTTCAAACCGCTGATATAATTTTTATTTAGACAACAATGGGAAAAGGCTCAGCCTAAAACTGTCTAATAGAACCACAAACAAGAAGGAATTCCGGGTTTTTTGCAACACCATGTGAAGGATATACAACCAGCTTTCCCTTTTTGTAATTGACTGATTAACTTTCGAGCTCTCACACAGTTTCTAGTAACTGACTGCATCTTTCTCCTCCTCATCGCCATGTACCATACCGGCAGGCATGGGCGACCATGACTAGTCGACTGACACTATCACTGATTCTGGGATTAGGTTTCTGCTACCGACACTGTGTCACGTGACAATCAGGAAAGCAGACACAGTTATGTTCGGTGGGATTAGCACGTTCATTAACTGGCGCCTTCCAGAGGGAATTGTATCACGTGACAGAGTCGTTAATGGAAGCTTCGGGACAGAACTAAACCGATTCCCGTGAATCAAGAACTGGAGAAAAGACGCTGGCGCTGGATATGAATCATTTTGGGAAAATTTGACAATAATATAACTAGACGATCTTTACAACCCTCAGGGGCATAATAAAAAAACCAGAGCAGGAAAGGACAAGACGACTTGGCGCACGATGGCTGATTGCCTATGCTCCACTGTGGCTAGAGGACAGAAGAAGAAGAAGAAGAAGAAGAAGAAGAAGAAGAAGAAGAAGAAGAAGAAGAAGAAGAAGAAGAAGAAGAAGAAGAAGAAGAAGAAGAAGAAGAAGAAGAAGAAGAAGAAGAAGAAGAAGAAGAAGAAGAAGAAGAAGAAGAAGAAGAAGAAGAAGAAGAAGAAGAAGAAGAAGAAGAAGAAGAAGAAGAAGAAGAGAAGAAGGAAGAAGAAGAAGAAGAAGAAGAAGAAGAAGAAGAAGAAGAAGAAGAAGAAGAAGAAGAAGAAGAAGAGAAAGAAGAAAGAAGAAGAAAGAAGAAGAAGAAGAAGAGAAGAAGAAGAAGAAGAAGAAGAAGAAGAAGAAGAAGAAGAAGAAGAAGAAGAAGAAGAAGAAGAAGAAGAAGAAGTGTCGCGCGCCCACGTGGGTAAATACACTGATATAGTGAGGGTGTGGGTTTGAACCTTAACAATGCCCACCCACGTGAGAAACTGGACTATTATCTAAGCTATGTTGATCCTAGACAGTCCTGGATAGCCAAGAAAACAGCGAGTGGCTCGTTCCATGAAATGAAAGTTGCTGTACTTGTATCCACAGGAGAAGGAGAAGGGATAGATAGATTTCTGGATACACCCACTGTGATATAATCCAGGTGCTCAGTTAACCCCTCCGACTGCTCTCCTCTCCTGGCATTACTAAAAAGCCCCCATCAAGTGATTTAAATATTTGTTAGCTGAAGTAAACTAATATGCACAAAGACACTTGAACCTAAGTACACAATTTACTTAACTCTGTTTAAACATCAAAAAGATTTATTTAATAAATCTGACTAAAATAAAATGAACTTGTTTAGGCTAGTAGAGTTGGGATGATGTTATAGATGACATTAAAGTTGTACATAACTTAGCTCATCAGGACAGTTCTCGGCTTGAGACCCTGTCTATCTTTTCCAGTTTGTCGTCCTCACTGCTTTCTGCAGGTCGTTACACTCGACGGTCGGCAAATAATGGATACCTACTAGTCCCTGCCCAATGTGGGAACTGGAAAAATGAAACCACGATGCCAAAAGTTCTGTCTCAAGCTTAGGTTAAGCCCAACAGATGGCATGTGCTCGACAGGATCTCATTTACCAGACCTATAGTTCACCCCTTTATAACTTTTATCAAGCTCCTCCTACATTACGCCTAAAATCATTCTCATTACGGGATATCACAGCTCCTCCCCTGTGGGTGTATATTCCCTGTCAGTCAGTGACTGTACAACAAGTTTGAATTCCCACGCTAGGATCTCCTGGTTCAATTAAGCTGGTCCAGCTAATAGGCCTAGTCACACCTCCAGTCTACTTCACAATAAAATCAGA